GCGATTGGCTGCTCTAGCTTTAAATGTCGGTGAGGAGGATTCTCGATTGTGCACCTGATTGGCACTTTCAGGGCAGCAGTGCCATTCCAGGAATGTCAAGTTCACTGGGTTCTGTTTCACTGGCCAGATCAGAAGTGATTCAGCCAGAAGAATACCTCTGTCTCCTTACTTCTCAAAACAAGGTTACTTGCTGCTTTCCTACCTGGCCTCACCCTCTTCCTTCAATGTTCCTCTTCTACAAAAAAAAAAAAAAAAAAAGATACAAACTTTAGGCTGCCTCCATGTGGAAGATGGGAGCCAGCTGGCAATAAAGTTATATCCAAATGTGTGTCACCACAAGGGATTTTCACAGAGTTGTCATGACAGTTGATATCTGATCAAAGTAAAGTGTCCAGTACATAGAAAGTGCTTTAAGAAAGTGACATTTCTCTTCTCCCCATAGTAGGAAGAAAGAAGTTGGATTCCACATATACATATAGTGTGTGTCCAACAGCATTTAAATAGTGCCAGGCACTCTCACATTATAAGCATGAACTCCAGAGTCAGACAAACCCACATTCCCACCTGGCCACTTACTACCTGGGTCAGCCTCTCTGCACCTCGATTTCTTCATTTTTCAAATAGAGATGATAGCATTTAACTTAGAAGCATTGTGCTTTTATGAAGAGAAAAGGAAACCGTTTCTAGTGATTCCTGAGCATAGTCAGTCCCATGTCCTTGGACTGCTCTGTGTTATTGACATGCTTTGTTTCTGCCTCTTAGGTGAGCCCTCTCCGTTGCTAAAAGCTAGAATAGGTGACAGGGATGGCTTCGTGCAATTCTCTGCAAAAGGCATGTACAAGGAAGGGGTAGTGATGCAGTGACACGTGCAGCGCTGGGTCTTAAATATTTCCTTACATGTGAAAGCCCTAATATAGTACCTGAAACATAGAAGCCACTGTACAGATGTTAGTTTTGATCTTCTCGCTCAGACAAAATACAAACTTAATGAATAGGAATGTGGGATCTTAACTCGTGGTTTGTAAAAACTGAAGATTCAGTCCCTGAGAGCAGGCTACAGCCCCAGCCTCTCGGGTATGTCGGGGAGTTCTCTCTCTCTTTATTTTTTTAAATTAAGGAAAAGCAGATGCTAGCTTCTGGAATCTGGACACAGGACTTCTCTGCTACGAGTGCAGGTGGCAAGAGGCTTTGTCCAACCAATTGAGCAGTTTTTTTAAAAAATATTGATCCAAGTAATACCTGCTCATTATTAAAAGTTTGGGAAAGTATACACCAAACCTAACCAAACCCACTGCCATTTAGTAGATTCTTACTCATAGTGACCCTGTAGGACAGAGTAGAACTGCCTTGTACGGTTTCCAAGGCTATAAATCTTTACCGAAGCAGACTGCCTCATCTTTCTCCCATGGAGCAGCTAGTGAGTTTGGACTGCTGACCTTTTGGTTAGCAGCCAGATGCTTTAACCACTGCATCACTCGGGTTCCTTAGAGACATGTAGGCAAGCATAAAGAACTGGACAATAGCAAACAGAGCACTTGCCCCCAGGCAGAATCCTTCTACGTCCACTCAGAGATCCAGTTGAGGTAAATTTCCTTTCCAAGCTTTTTTCCTTGAATTTCTTTTTTACATAGTTGAGGTCATGCTGCGTAATACAATTTTCATACCTTAAGTTTTTACTTGTCACATTACAGCACAAGGGTATCCTTCTAAAATTTAAAATTTTCTTCATATTATAACATCCATAAGTCTAGAAAATTTTAATATAGACAGATATGGTGTACAAAGTGAAATTTCTAAGTCGATCTAAAACTAACTAATACTGGAAACATTTTTTTTTTTTTAATTTTCTTGTGATTTGGGTGAAAGTTTACAGAGAAAATTCATTTTCCATACAGCAATTCATACACATTTCGAGAAACACTTTTTTAAATACTATAGGAGCTCTGGTGGTATAGTGCCTAAAGCATTTGACTGCTAACCAGAAGGCTGGCGGTTCAAACCCACCAGCCACTCCTCAGAAGGAAGGCTGGGCGGTCTACTTCCGAAATGATACTGCCTCGGAAACCCAAGGAGGGGCCGCTATGAGTCGGATCCGACTCAACGGCAAATAACAACAACAAACAAAGAGTATTGTAGTAGAACATGAAAGTTATCTTTCATACATCCTACCTACTTAAGACAGACTAGGATGTTGTTGATCTACTTCTGAAAATCAGTTGATGAAAACCCTGTGGATCACAACAGTGTGATGTGTAGCCGACACGGGGATGGCGCAGTACGGGCAGGTTTCGTGATGTTGTGCCTGGGGTTGCCAGGCGTTGGGGGCTGGCTTCACGACAGCTAACAACCACCACCACTGGTGCTACACAATCCTACCCTCTGAAAAACGCACTGCCATCCAGTCAATTCCGATTCATAGCGACCCTATAGGACAGAGTGGAACTTCCCCCCCCATAGGGCTTCCAAGGTTGTAAATCTTTACAGAAGCAGACTGCCTCGTCTTTCTCCTGAGGAGGAGTGGCTGGTGGGTTCGAACAGCCAACATTTTGGTTAGCAGCCAAGTGCTTTAACCACTCTGTCACTAGGGCTCCTACATAATTCTTTTTTTAAAAAAATTTTTTATTTTTTATTTTTATTGTGATTTGGGTAAAAATTTACAGAGCAAATACACTTTCCATACAGCAGATCACATACACTTTGTCTCATGACATTGACCACAATTTAGCACAATGCAACATCTCCTCTTCCACTTCCTCCCAATAGGTACCGCTTCCCTGTGACCATCCCTCCATGCACTCCTACCCCCTGAGCTGTCTCCCTGTGCCTGAGCAGCCCTTCTTTCTCTCTTATTTGTTCTCTCCAAGGAGTGTATATACCTCAGGTAAATGCTCAACTAGTATGCCTGTCTACTGCTTGGCTGGAAGCTACAGGTATGTGTTCAATTCCAGACCTGAAGGGCAGCTAGGGGCCATAGTCTCAGTGGTTCCACCAGGCTCCATCAGGCCAGCAAACCTGCTCCCCGCTTTTTTTTTTTTTTTTAACGATTTTGAGTTTTGTGCCACATTGTTCTCCCTATCTATCCAGGATCTCCTACAAAGATCCCCCATCCAAGTGGTCGACAGTAGCAGCTGAGCACCGTCTATTTCTTCTGGTCTCATAGTTGTATAGGCTGCAGATCGGATGGTGTACCAGTCGCTAGGACCGATCCTTTCCATGAATTTTTGTTTCCTTCATTCTTCTTGGCCCTGGACAAGGAGAGACCCATCGCTGCATCTAGGTGGCAGCTTGCAAGCTTTTAAGATCTCAGTCGCCACTAGCTACAGTAGAAGGTGGAACAATGATTTATGTAGTATGTTATGCCAATTGAGCTTGATGTTCTCTGGGACCAACCATGGTCCCGAAGGGCTCCTACATAATTCTTCAGAAGTTTAAAAAAAGAAAAGAAAAATTTATAAAATAGGAAGTGAAATCTCTCCGAAAACTGTCTCCTAGTGCTAACCAGTGTTAGTTGTAGTGTACAGTCTTCCAGTTTTTCCCCTTTTGCATATCAGTGATGTGTGTGTTAATAACTATAATATTGTTTTCAGCTTCGTTTTTCACTTACACATTTTGGGTATCCTATAGTGTAACCATTTTCCTATATCATTAAAAGCACCTATTCAGATGCTATTTTAGATGACTACGTAACATGCCCTTATTTCTCTAAGGCTGCTGTTTGCAATCTAAGTAAATATTATCTACATTCTTGACTCTAAGTTCCAGACACTCCTAATTTGTCAGAGCATACACATTTTAAGGTTGCCGCTCTAGTGAGGGTTTATCATCTACTCTGCCATCAGAGTCTTATGGAAATATACAGTGACAGTGGTGATCAGTCTTCACTTGTGATTATTTAAAAATTCTTATCGATGTCCTGGATGAAGATACTCTTGTTTTAATTTGTGTTTCTTAGAATACTAAAGTCAAAAACCAAACCCACTGCCATTGAGTCAATTCTGACTCATAGTGACCCCCATTGCATTGCCAAGACTGTAAATCTTTACAGGAGTAGATTGCCTTATCTTCCTCCCACACAGCAGCTGGTAGGTTTGAACTGCTAGCCTTTTGGTTAGCAATCAAATCCCTTACCCGCTATACCATCAGAGCTCCTTTCTTTGAGTATTAGAGGGTTTTAAATATGTTTGCATGTTTAATGATCTTCTGTGATTTTTGGAGTAGAGGTAATCTGCTCTCTATTAAAACAAAGCACTTCAGATTCCGTAGAACTTTCTGGACCTATTCCTGGGACCACACAGCCCTATGTTCTCCGTATAGTGGGGTCAGAAGCAAAGGTGTGCTCTTTTCAGGTGATCCCTTTGATCCTCCTGATGGCCTCATCCACAGCTGCAGCCCACTCGGGCCCCAGTGGACTTGATACCATTCTTTTTATATATATATATATATATATATATATATAAATAACTCTCCTCCCCTCTCCTCTCTGTGACTACTCCTTCCTGTGTCCTTCTTACCTATGCATTTCTGTCTTCCCCCCTTTGTAAATGCTACTCTTCTGATGTCTCGTGGTTGATTGATCTAAGGGGTACATCTCCCGAGGGTTGGTGGGTGCATCTCTCTGGGTTAGGCGTTTTGCTTTTAGGCTTTTCTGCTGTGTGTCTGAGAGCTAATCCACAGAAGTGAGTCCAGTTCCAGGCCTGAAAGATTTCTGGTCGTTTTTCCAGCACTCTTGTGTGTGGCCTGTGGGGTCTTGTCACAAAATGTTTCACTGGCTTCTTTCTAAGCAGAGAAGTGGTACTAAAAGGTACAGAGGGGAAGATTCACAAGTTAGTCCTTGGGTCTTCTTGCTAAATAGTCTCTGTGTCTCTTCTGGCCTCAGTCTGCTCATCACCAAAGACCACAGCATCTTTTTCAGTAACAGGAGTCTGTTATTGGCAGTTGACATTTATTTGCTTGTTTATTTCTGCTTAAAAAGATTTTACCCTTTTTTTTTCCCCCCTTAGGCCGCAAGCTGAGGGGAAAAGCCTTTTATTTTGTCAACGGCAAAGTGTTTTGTGAGGAAGACTTCCTGGTGAGTATGTCACCCATCCCTCCCTCACCCCAGCCTGACCAGAGGGTCAAAGGGAAGGGAGGGTATGGAGAGCCTGGGACCAGGCAGAAGAGGGTGGCCTTTCTGTACTGGCCGTGGCTTTGGGAAGCGGCACTGCCAAAGGGGCTATAACTTTCCTTCCATAGATGAGAATGGCTCAGGTTCCCAAGGCAAACAACAGATTGCAGAGCTTTGTACTTTGAAGGGACTTTAGGATCACTCGGCCTGTCCTCTTCCCACTTTCCTGAGTTCTACCTCCTCCATATATTTCTTAAATTTCATTGTCCTATCACCATCTCTGGTGGGTCCGGGCTCATGCTCTTTCTCTCTCTCTCTCTTTTTTTTTTTTTAATTGTGATTTGGGTGAAAGGTTACAGAGGAAATTCATTTTCCATTCAACAGTTCATACTTATTTTATGACATTGATTGCAATCCCCATAATATAACAGCTCTCTTCCCACTTCTTCCCTATGTCCTTCTTTCCTTGCCCTGTGCAAATGCTGCCTCTCTGATCTCCCATGGTAGATTGTTCTAAGGAGTGTATATCGAAAAAAAAAAAACCTCACTGCCATCAAGTCGGATCTGACTCATAGCGACCCCTCCTTGGGTTTCCGAGGTGGTATCACTACGGAAGTAGTTTGCCCCATCTTCCTTCCGAGGAGTGGGTGGTGGGTTTGAACCGCCAGCCTTCTGGTTAATAGTCAAATGCCTTAGGCACTATGCTACCAGGGCTCCTGGGAGTGTATATACCTGATTTAATTGTTCACCCTCTAAGCCTGTCTATTGTTTGGCTGGAAGCCGTGGGAGTAAGTTCAATTCCAGGCCCCAAGGGTGACTAGGGGTATAGCCTCGGCGGTTTCACCAGTGTCTGTCAGACCAGTAAGCCTGGTCTTTTTTTTTTTTTTTTTTAATTATTTTGAATTTTGTTCCACATTTTCTCCTACTCTATCCAGGATCTCCTATTTTGATCCCTTTCCAAGCGACTGACAGCAGTAGCTAGACACCATCTATTTCTTCTGGTCTCAGGGTCATATAGGTTGAAGTTCATGTGGTCCTCTAGTCCCTTGGACTAATTGTTTCCATACGTCTTTGATTTTCTTCACTCTTCTTTGCTCCAGATGAGGAGAAACCAATAGTTGCATCTTAGACAGCTGCTCGCAAGATTTTAAGACCTCAGTCGCTACTCACTGAAGCAGGATGTAGAACAGTGATTTTGTGTACTGTGTTATGCCAGTTGAGCTTTATGGCCCCTGTGACCATAGTCTTTAGCCCTGGGCCCTCTTTTCCTCTCCTCCTGCCTATTCCCTGAGAATCCAGTCCTCCAAAGAACTAGAAGTCCATCCACATATCAATGACTCCTGGATTTGAGCTCCAGCCCTGCCAGCATCCCTAAGAACCAGCTGTTAAGTCTCCTTATCTTCTGGAGGTGGCCTCCCCAGCACCTCACACTCCCCTTGTATGAAGCAGATACCATCATCTTGCCTTGTGTCCTGTCTCTTGAGATTGATCTCCCTTCCCCACCCTGCTAAAGACCTGAGGTCTTCCCTTGACCTTCATCCTTCCCCATTACTTCCTGAATGCAACCAAACATTGAGCTGTGTGCCACCATGCCCTCCAGGATTCTGCCCTAGTCCCCAACCTCATTGTGGCTCAGCTGGGCTAACACAGCGCCTCTGCCCAACTGCCTGTATGAAGAGGCCTCTGACCATGTCCAAATGACCCCCTCCACCCCAGTGTCTCCTGGGTAAAGAGCATGCCCAGAAGGAAGCTCTCTGAGAGCTGAAGTCTGACTTCCTTCCAACAGTGTGTCTTGCTCTGTCTCTCTCTGCCTCGTTTTCTGTACACCCGCATCACCTCAGACCTTCATGCCTTTGCTTGTGCCATTTCCCTTGCTTAGAACGCCTTTACCCTCTTCTTTGCCCAGTTAACTCCTGCAGCCTTCCTTGTCCCTCTTGCTCCCACAGTGAAATGTCCTTGCTCAGTGCTGCTGCCATGCCTGGGGCTTACCTGGCACAGGCACTTAGCACACTGCAATGTGGTTGTTTACAAGCCTTTCTCCGCACTTGACTATGAGCGCCTAGAGAAGAAAGGGCATACTTCTTTCCCTTTGCATGTTCAGGCCCTAACAAGGCCAAGCACAGGGCGGTGTTTGGTAAATGGTACAGTAGTTGAACTGGCTTTGTTGTTTCTCGGATGAGGAATGAGAGTCCCACCAATGAGCTTCTGGCCAGCTTCTTGGTGGATATATGAAGCCCTCTTCTTTCTGTCTTCCCCTGGAGAAAGTTCTGTTTGGTTTTCATAGATAAGGATTGATCATTATGACTCTTGTTTGCCAGGAACAGATAAGCAGACCTAAAACTGGCTTAAGCAAAATGGAAATTCATTTCAACAATGCCTTCAGAAGTCATTTTTTTCTTCAATCCTTAGCCCTGCCTCCCACCACATTAGTGTCAGTCTCAGGCACTATATGATGGCCAGATGGTAGCCGCACTCCAGAGTTTTATTCTCCCAGTTTCAAAGCCCATGGGCAAGAGTGCCTGTGCTGTTTCCAGAAGCCTGAGCATAAGTCTCCTAGAGTCTAGTTGGCTCTTCCTGGGTCACGTGCCCATCCCTGGATAAAATCATTGGTGCTAGAGGAATGTACGGCTCTGATTGGCCAGGTATGAGTCACATGCCTTGCCTTGGAACTGGGCATGGAGTCAGCCCCACAAGAGTCATGGGAACCACAAGGTGAGGGCTGCGGGGGCTGGATCCCAGATGAAATAAAGAATTGTTACCCCTAGGATGGGGAGTTCTGGTAGCATAGTGGCTAAGGTACTTGACTGCTCACCAGATGGCTGGCGGTTCAAACCCATCAGCCACTCCTCGGAAGGAAGGTTGGGCAATCCTACTTCCGTAGTGATACTGCCTTGGAAACCCAAAGAGGGGTCGCTATGAGTCAGGGCTGACCCGACGGCACATAACAACAACAATAACAGGATGGGGAGTAGAAGCCAGACAACAGAAATCTGCACGGCATTATATGGAGTTTAGAAAGTTTTCCTGTTTTCTTCTGCCTTTCCACCACTGAGTCTGTATTTGCTTTATTTAAGCTTCTAGTAAGGAGCCCTATTGGTGCAACAGTTAAGCTCTTAGCTGCTAACTGAAAGGTTGGTGGTTCCAACCCACCCAGTGGCTCTGCAGGAAAAAGCCTGGAGATCTGCTCCCATAAAGATTATTGTGTAGAAAAACCTGTAAAGGGGTTGTGCTCTGTCACATGGGGTCACTGAGTCAAAACTGACTAGACAAACTATGCCCTGAAGTCATGTTAAAACCAAACAGTGGTTTAGATTAACTAGTGAAAAAGGTCAGCAGTGAGCTCTGTGCTCTTTTAAGATCTAACTGTATGGGACCAAAGTGACAATGGCAACTTGAAGGATTAGACAGGAGCCTTAGAGGGACAGGAGTTTATGTTAATGGGAGAAGAACAACTTAGAAAAGAAGGGTAGAATTGTGTACATAACTTGAAGAATGTAATCAGTGTGCCTGAATTGTACATGAGAAACTGCTGAATTTTCAAGTTTGTGTTTTGCTGTGTATATTCTCAACAACAAAATAAATAACATTTAGGAAAAAAAAATTGATAGCAGAACATTAACAAGCTTGTAGTAACTTCCAGTATATTATATCTAGTATGTTTTCTGAAGAGAGTCCCCCCCATTTCTTTTAAAACTCCAAGTGTGTGTGTATGTGTGTGTGTGCACACGCATGCCCATGTGTGCATGTGCACATGTGTATGCTTGAAGCTAACTTTGAAAGGCATTGGCTCTAGAACCAGAGCCAGACTTAAATTTGAATCTTGTCTTTTCCACTTGCAAGCTCTGTGACCTTAAGAAGGTCACTTAACCTCCCTGAGCTTCCATTTGGGAAATGGGGATAATAATATCTACCTTGCAGAGTTGTTTTAAAGATCAGAGCAGCAGTTCTCAAACATGTGCGCGTCAGACTCTCTGGAGGGAAAAAAAAAAAAAAACAGACTCACTGTCATGGAGTCGGTTCCTACTCATAGCGACGCCTCCCTTGGGTTTCCAAGGTGGTATCACTACGGAAGTAGATTGCCCAATCTTCTTTCCAAGGAGTGGCTGGTGGGTGTGAACCGCCACGCCAGCCTTCTGGTTAGCAGTCAAATAGGCCTACGCTCTGAACCTCCAAATCAGTTGCTCTGGGGTGGGGTGGGAGAATTTGCATTTCTTACAAGTTCCCAGGTGATACTGGGGAATCTCTCTTTGAAATCACTGGATTAGCAATTCAGGCCTCTGACATGGAGTCCAGCATGTGGTGGGAGCCCAGACCCAGGCATTGTATGATGAGTGGCATTAATATCTGTAATGACTTTTGCAGCAGACTCATGACTTGTCACAGTCCTGTCCCATCCCCAACCCCCTCCCCTGCCATGACTCATCACACAGCTGTGTTGTCCTCAAGGAAATGATTGATTCCCATACAGAGTGGCACATCCTTCTGAGAAATTCCTTGTTCTCCTTGTGACTAGCAGGGAAGTGGCTGGATCCATCCTCCTTGCCTGGATTTAACTTTCTTTTCTCTGTTCTCTGCAGTACTCTGGTTTCCAGCAGTCTGCTGACAGGTGTTTTCTCTGCGGACATCTGATAATGGACATGGTGAGTAGGGTCAGCCAAATGAGATAATCGCAGGGTAGGTGGGGGATGCATTGAGATTTAAAATTTAAAAAAAAAAAAAAAGTTGAGTACAGTGTTTATGGTCACAGCTGGTTTTATTAAAAGACGAGCCCTGTGCATGTAACACACTTGCTAATAGAGCCCCATTGTTGGCTTTTATTGGTACTAGCATCCTCACCTGTCCACACTGCATAATGTTGTGTTTCTGATAATGCCCCTTCCTCCTCTGGGCTCTTCAGATCACACTGGCCCCCTTCTGATTTCTCTGTGATCCTTTTGGCATTCCAGGTGAAATGCCAGATGGAGCTTGTTTGCGCTCCAGAAATCTCAGCTCCCTTAGAATTAGACTCATAAACTCAAGTGAACACAGTTGTCCTCCCCCTCAACCTGGTGTTCTGCCTGCCTCAGCCTGTTCCTAAGATGAGTTTTAGGGACCTGTCATAAAGTTCTGAGGCAGCAGAACAAGAAACAGTGTACAAAGGATGTAGAGGCATCATCCTCTGACCTACTCTAACGTCACGAGGGAGAGTCACTATCAGCAGCGGCAGCCCAAGGCTGATCCCTATGAAGTGGAGGTCTGACATGCCTCCACCCTCCAACCTTTTTACCAGTTCTGACACGTGGAAGTCCCTCCCACAATACTCTTTACTTCTCCGCTGAGTTTGATAATTTGTGGCATTGGCCACACACAGAACTCACAGGCAATACTCACAATTAATGGGGCTTATTAGGGAAGCAACAAGTTACAATTCAGGTTCAGGAACGCTCGGGATACAGTTCTTCAATCAAGACAGCCTCCCCTCAGCCATGTACATAGGCATGCCTCTCTTTGGCCCTCAGGCTCTTGGCCTGGCCTCTGACCTGCTTGTGTGAGTGTACAAAGCTCTTCTAGCATCGCACTGTGTACACCCCACTCTGCCAGCAAGCCTCCTGCCCAGAGGCACTCAGCTTTGTCACTGCAAGGGCCAGCAAGCCCACACCACACTGTCTCGTGCCAGTCTTTCAAGTTCTGCTGCTACTGCTGCTGTCATCCTCTCCCATCTCTCTGCCGTTGTCTCAGTGCAAGGATCTCAGATACAAGGATACACTCCACTCTCTGCTCTTCTCTGTCTTGATCCCCTCACTCCTTCTGCCTCTAGGAGGGCTCATTTTAAGCCTATCAGAATGACAAAACTGACCAAGCCCCACATTAGGGTTCCATTCACCTTATTTCTATGGTCCCACCCCCACAAGGGTGTTCTGTACCTTATTTACATTGTTGTTGTTGTTGTGTGCCTTCGAGTCGGACCTGACTCATAGCGATCCCTCCTTGGGTTTCCGAGGCAGTATCACTACGGAAGTAGATTGCCCCATCTTCCTTCCGAGGAGTGGCTGGTGGGTTTGAACCACCAGCCTTCTGGTTAACAGTCAAGTGCCTTAGCCACTGGGCTACCAGAGCTCCTACTAACAAGCTATCTAGTCCCCTTGGACCACTAACATCTTATATTTGGATAGTTCTACCCAATCATCTGGTGGGAGACACAAAGACCTTGGCTTGAAGAGCCATATTAAGTAATGCACTGCACCACAAACAAGTTTACACATCCCTTTCTCACTCAGCCACTGGCTCTCTGAGGTCTTCTTGGGCCTCAGTATCTTTATCTCTTCACTAGGGACAATTTTTCCTTTCTCTGCCTGCTTATAGGATTAGGTTGTGAAGTTAATGAATACAGCGATTTTGTTCTGGCTTAGGGATCAGATTGTTCATCGTTGGAGACTGGCCTTTAAGGATTTCTTTAATACACTGGTCAGAGGAAATGATTATGTGACATTCTTTTAGTTGAAAAGAGTTAAATCTCTCATTTAACTCATTTATCCCTTTCTCATTATCCTGACTCATTTATCCCTTTCTCCCCAGGAGGCACTGTTGCAAATCTTGGCTAATTTCTTTTACCTTTTTGTTGAGAAATACTTCAGAGTGTAAGGGTACAAATTGAAAGTGTGCAGCTGAATGAATATTTTGTATGTGCATATACCTGGCCTTTTGGCTAAGATCAAGTGGTGTAGTGCCTAAGGCATTTCACTGCTAACCAGAAGGCTGGCTGTTCAAACCCACCAGCCATTCCTCAGAAGGAAGACTGGGCAATCAACTTCCATAGAGATACCTCCTCAGAAACCCAAGGAGAGGTCGCTATGAGTCAGAACTGATTTGACAGCAGTGAGTTGGCTTTTTTGTTGTTGTTGTTGTTTATACCCATGTCACCACCACACACATCAATTTCCCACACCTAGAAAGTTCCTTCTGGTCCTTCTCACATTTAAGACCCCTTCTCACAAGGTGCCCACTGTTAGAACCTCTTATCACTACAGATCCAGTTTGCTGGTTCTGGAACTGCATATAAATGGAATTGTATAGTATAGATTCTTTGGGGATGGCTTCTCTCACACAGTAAAATGTTTGAGATTCATCCACCTTGTTGCCTGTATCAGTAGTTCATTCGTTTTCATTGCTAAGAAGAATTCTCTTCTTACCAGTTTATTTATCCATTCTCCTGTTGATGAGGGTTTCGGTGGTCTCCAGTTTGGGGCTGTTATGAATAAAGCTGCTATGAACATTCTTGAGCATGTCTTTGGTGGACATAAACACTCGCTTCTATTGGTTATATGCTAACATTTATAAAACAGTAGTGAGCCCTGGCTATTTGTGAAGAGTACCTGCTGTCATTCACGCTGTGACAGACCATAGCAGAGACACAGCTTAGCTCTGGAAGTTCCCTGTACTTATTAGAAGTTAAGGCCTCCGTGGGAGCATGCCCTTCCACCCACTCCCCCTAGACACTCACCCTCACCCCTGCCTTCTTTAAGTGCCTACCAGAAACTCTAGGGTTCCACTATTTAAGAGTCCTTCTGACAAAGACTCTGCATATGAAGTCAACATTGCTCAAACTTTATGAGCATGATTATACCCTATTCTTAGTTCTAGGTGTCGTAAAATTTCTTTGGGCCCTTGGGGTATATCATTTGCCTATTATTGCATGACAAACCACCCCAAAACTCAGTGGTTGAAAACAACAGTGATTTATAATTTATCATGAGTAAGAATTCACATTCTACCGAGGCATCCATATACATGGACACATACTCACACACTGTCGTGCCAGGGCTATGGTTGGATGATTGGGTGGGTCAGGAGCTAGGTCAGGGCTCAGCAGAACTGTTCTTCTGCTCCACTTTGCATTGGCTGGAGTCATTTACTCTGCTGTGTTCAGTTGGTGGCACAGTTGGACTGGAACATCCCCTAACCCTTCAGGTCTCTCTCCCTATAACCTCTAATCATGCGGAAGTATAGATTGAACATCCTTATAGCAAGGAAGGAGGAAGGGGAAGTAGAAACTGCCATTCTTAAGTCCTTCACGCAGAAGTCTCACATCACTTCCCTCTCATTCTCTTGATCAAGGAAAGTAACAAGACTAGGCCAGATTCACGAGGAGGAAAAATATTCTCCACCTCTTAATGTGAGGATCAATATACTCATACAAGGAGGGAAGGAATTGATGGTGGTCATCTTTGGAGACAATTTCTACCACACAGGATAATGTGAAATTGAGCCCGGAATCTTCACAGGTCTTCTCTGGAACTTGAAAACTTTTAGACTATGTGTCTGTCTGGTAGTGACACCTAGTTTTAAAGACAGAACCTTTAACTGCTGCCAGGAATTTTAATAATGTGCAGAAAGATACCTTCAGATACCACTCAGGTTCTCCAACAGAACCCCAACTCTTTGACTCATTCGTAAACTATCCGTGCCCCTCTTTTGTTATACTCTGTGTTTGCAGATTGGAACTGGACATTTTCCACATCAAAAGAAAGCATTACATCTTGTCAGAGTTCAGTGAGCTAGAATCTTTATCATACCATACTTTATGCACAATATAGGTTAAATTAACTACAAGCATCTTTTTGCCAAGAATAGCATTAACCCGAGGATGAGGGGGAAATATATTATAAGGTTCAAGTTACCAAATGGACTTTGGAAGCCCAGCCAGTTGTTGTTCCTCTTTTGGCAGCTCACTGCAGATTGAGAGGGGCCTCAAAGATTAGTGAAACCCAGGAGGGAATGAGGAAGCTGGAAAGCTGAGCCAGGGAACTGTTGTTTCAAAGGAGGCAGAAACAAATAGCACAAAGTCCTCTTGCCACTCAGCTGGAGGGTATGCGGGCAGTGTTTGCTTCCAGGGGCAGTGTTGGGCCTGTAGAAGGTGCCAGAACATAGCACGTCTTTCCTGCAGGTTTTACAATGTAGTGACATGGTTTTCCTCAGTTCTAAGTCCCCTTCCTCTTGCCGGTCTGCGTGGGCCCCCCTGCAGGATGCTAACAACTGTTCTGCACATCCTTGTACATTGGTTCTGTAGTTCAGTTGTCTGTACTGAGTTTCCTGGACCACATAATTTCAGAAATGACATCTCTTAAGTCAGTGAAGATACTTTCAACTGCAAATTGTAGAAAATCCCAGGCTCATTTTAACAGACCTCTTGTTGTTGTCTTGTGTCATCGAGTGGATTCTGACTTGTGGCAACCCATGTATGACCCAGTAGAGCTGCTCCACAGGGTTTTCTTGGCTATAATCCTTACGGAAGCAGATCGCCAAGCCTTTCTTCTGTAGAGCTGCTGGGTGGGCTTGAACCACTAACTTTTCTGTTCCCAGGCAAGCACAAACTGTGCCCTCCAGGGACCTTAACTTAAACCAGTGCCTCTCAAACCTTAGTGTGCTTCAGAATCACCTGCGAACTGGTTAGAACTCTGTAATCTTTATGGAAGCAGACTGCCACATCTTTCTCCTGTGGAATGGTTGATGGGTTCAGATTGCTGACCTTTCAGTTAGTAGTCGGGCAGATTCATCTGCCTCACTGTCACATGCATCTACCCCTGTGTGTGTCTCTCTGTGTCTGTATTTCCCTTTGTAAGACACCACTCAAAAGGGATTAGGTTTAGGACCGAATACCATACTTTGGGATGGTCACATTAACATAACCTTATTCCCAAACAGAATCACATTCACAGGTACAGGGGTTAGGACTTCAGCCTATCTTTTGGGGGACAAAATTCAAGCCATAACAGTAACAAAACCAAAAACCAAACCAGTTGGCCGTCACGTCAGTGCCGACTCATGGTGACCCCGTGTGCACTGTAGAACCATGCTCCACAGGGTTTTCAGTGGCTGGGACTTTTAGAAGCAGGTCAGCAGACCTTTCTTCCAAGACACTTCTGCGTAGGCTCAAACCACCAACCTTTGGGTTAGTATCCCAGCATTTATGCCACCCCTCTAAATTCCTTTCTGGCACTAGAAACCTTCTCAGGTACAAGAGAAGGATTCCTGTTTGATCTCCTACTGTTCTTATAGCTAAACAGTTTAGCCTTCCCTTCTCTCAACCTCTGTCTGAGTGCAGTCTGAGATGAGTGTGTGCTATGTTATATGACTGCTCCCTTGCTCCCTTGGCCTTACGTGCTTCTCTCCCTTCCACCATCCCTGCCTTCCCTCTAAGCCCTACTGATTCGCAGCCTCTCGGCCTGTACACCCCTAGATCCTGCAGGCCCTGGGGAAATCCTACCACCCTGGCTGTTTCCGCTGTGTCATCTGCAATGAGTGTTTGGATGGGGTGCCCTTCACCGTGGACTCGGAGAACAAGATCTACTGTGTCCGAGATTATCACAAGTAAGGAGGGGCAGAGTGGAGAGGCACCTTCTGCCTAAACCACATGGACTTCAGCAGAGAGAGAGAAGGGAGAGAGAGATGGATGGGAATGTATGTATAGGTAGCCTGGACCCAGAGTCAGCAGACCAGCAAGGGCTCTATCATTCTGAGGGATGTAGCAGGGGCCCCAGGAGGATGACAGGGCAGGCAGGAACTGGTTAAAGAATCATGCATGCTTTGAGAAAAAGCAAAGCAGCAACAACACAACCAGACTCCTGGGTATGCCTCAGGAGGACCCGCTAAGCCTTGTAGCTCCAGCTTTACCTCACTTCAAAAGGCTCCAGCGCCGTGTTGGGATCTACCAGTGTCAATTTGCCTGAGCCACGCTAGGCTCGTGGGGGGAATAAAATAAATCAAAGCCTCGGTCTCTCCTCTCAGTAATGTTAGAGGGGCTGGACGTTCTTGTTACAGTTGGGGCCCAATTCTGAAGCAGCACTGAAGCATGTCCTAGAGAGTAAGTGGCCAGCCTCTCTCCGAGGCTGGAAAAAGGAGAAGAGAGCTGGAGGGTGGTGGGTGCCAAGAAGGCTCCAGGTGCAAGTCTCATTCTGAGCCTTACCACCCAAAAAGCCCACAATATTCATTTTATGACTTCTCTGTTTTTCCCCTCAGGGTGTTGGCCCCCAAGTGTGCGGCCTGTGGGCTTCCCATCCTTCCACCTGAGGTAAGATGCTACTTCAAACATGCTCCTGGGGTCTTCAAGACCAGAAAATGCCCCTGAGTTTATTTACAAGATCGAGGCTCTGTCCTTATACCTGGTAAACAGTCCTTATACCCGAGGTAAATAGTGTCCTCACTGGGAAGCACCTTTCTCTTTGGGTGGCTGCCTCCACCCAATGCCCTCCTCAGTCCCCACTTGTCTCTATAATCAGATCCAACTCTCTTGCTGATACTAACTCCTAGCTTAGAAGATAAGCTGAAAAGCTTATCTTTTATTCATTTTTTTAAAAATAAATGCCCATGCAGGTTTTGTGTTGTAGTATTGATTCTCATACCCCAAAAGGTAGGGCTGCAGGGCTCCAGTCACTCCCCTGTTCTCTCATCACCAACATGAGTTTTTTTAAACAAGTGTTAGTGTCCATTACTGTTTGATACGCTTCTTCTAAGGCCACCTACTGTCACCTCAGAATCCTCCTCCCTCCTTGCCCCTTTCCATGTGGAGCTCCATGGATGGGCCCCTAACTGTCTCTTCTTGGTGTTGTTGCTTGTCTTTGGTCCCAGGGCTCAGATGAGACCATCCGTGTTGTGTCCATGGACAGAGACTACCACGTGGAGTGTTACCACTGTGAGGTAGGCCCGAGAAAGGAAGCCTCCCTGGCTGGCTGGGACATGAGGTGACCAAGTTCCTGGGGAGTGTGTGCCTGACAGGATGGGGCAGGAGAGTAGGCAGATATTTGGGTTGCAAACATCTCTACTATTTTCTCCATATTGAGAACTGTCAGGTCCTGAGACCTTAGTGGCTGCCCTTCCCTGAAACTGGAACACTGGACGGCTGTTATGGGGCCATGGTTTCAGGTCCTGTTTGGGGCTCAGATTGTCAGGCAAGCTGTGTGGTTTGGGTAAGAGGCTCCCTCCCCTCCAGCTTGTAGGCTGCTCTCTTTGCCAGGACCCCCTTTCTCAGTTGATCCCAGGCACTCATGAAGAAACTTCCCTGGAAACGGGCAGCTGGGTGATGTGAAGGTGGGTGGGGCCCATCTGCCCTTTGTCTTTGGGTCACATTCAGGCTGAAGAAGCTACTGTTAGAAAAGCTAGGGGTCAAACCCCACCCCTGACCCCCAGCCCTTGTGAAAGTGCAAACACTTGAAGTGCTTATGGCATTTTAGTCAGAATTAAGTGGATTCGTCCACGGAAGGAGATTGTTTTGATTTTATGACCCTGTGAGTGATGAGATTAGCAGGTGCAGGGGACAAATAGCCTGATCCCATTGACAACACTGAAGAAATAGGTGGGAATCATTGTCAGTAGCATTCCAGGTGCCTGGAGAAAAAAAGTGTGACAGCATTTGCTCAACATTCATACCCACCCATTCCAGACCAGCGCTGTCCAGTGGAAATATAAGAGCCACAAATTTAAGCCACACGTACAATTTAAGTTTTATAGTAGCCACGTTAAAAAAAGTCAAAAGAAACAGATGCAGTTCATTTTTACGATATTTTATTTAACCCAATATATCCTAAATATGTCATTTCAATGTATAATCAATATAATAAATTACTTATACACATTTTACATCCTTTCTTGTCCTCCCCTGAAATTTAGCATGTGCTTTGTACTAACAGTGCATCTCAGTTCTGCCATATTTCAGGTGTTCAGTGGCACCATGTGGCATGTGGCATGTGGCTCTGTCCTGGGCAGCACAGTCTGTGCCTTTGCTGGGTGGAAGTCCTATGTTTCTACAGACTTAACAATGGTTAAGTGGTCAGCTGCTAGCCCAAAGGTTGGCAGTTCAAGCCCACCAGTGGCTCTGAGGGAGAAAAGACCTGGTGATCTGCTCCCATAAAGATTATAGCCAAGGAAATCTTATTGGGCACTTCTACCCTGTCATGTGGGGTCACTTGGAATTGAAAATCAACTCCATGGCACCCAGCAACAACCACATGCAGAAACAGCACCATTTGCTCCACTCAGGGACTATGGCCTTTGTGTCAGTCTGTCAGTCTGTGGTGCTTGCTTTGGGTTTGTTCCCACTGGTTGTCTTTGCCTCTCCCCCAGGACTGCGGCCTGGAGCTCAATGATGAAGATGGCCACCGCTGCTACCCACTGGAGGACCACTTGTTCTGTCACTCCTGCCACGTCAAGAGGCTGGAGAAAGGCCCCTCACCAGCTGCCCTTCACCAGCACCACTTCTAGCCACGACCTCTCACAGAGAGGATGCGATGCTAGGCCTGCCTTCATGTAGAGAAATCTGACGGTTAATTTCCAGTGCCCCTGTGGAGGGGTTGGGATGAGGGGAGAGAGGAAGGGTGAACAGGCAAGTTCCCACACGGATGCAGGGTGCCTTTTGCTGAACCACAGAGGTGAAACACAATCTGTCTGGTGCATGTATCTCCCACATGTCTTTCTCTGCTGCCCTGCCGTCGTCAGACTACTCAGGAAAATGCTCCAACAAGGGCCAGCATGGGACAGCGAGATTGCATCAGTGAAACCAGACCAACCCTCCCATCCCCTTGGGACTGTGCTTCAGAGGGAGAGGTTCACCCTGAGTGGATTTCATAATATTGCCTGAAGAGAGTTCAGCTGTTGATACAGTCACCTCTTTCCTCACTCCCTTAGGAATATATGTGCATGTAAACACTCACCCGTCTCTCTCTCTCACACACACACACATACACACACACCCCAAACCCATTACCATTGAGTTGGTTCTAAGTAGAACTGCACTCAACTGAGTGTCAGAACAGAACTGTGCTCTGTAGGGCTTTTGATGGCTGCTTTTTTTTTGGAAATAGATTGCTGGGCCTTTATTTTGAGGCTCCTCTGGGTGAATGCAAACCTCAAACCTTTTGGTTAATAGCCAAGTGTAAACCATTGCACTACCCAGGAACCATCTCACTCACACACACACACACACACACACAGAGAGAGAGAGAGAGAGCATGGTTTAAGACTTCCTTCTATCCCAGAACTTCAGTTGTTCAATAGAATGGCTACAACTTTGAGTTGCTTTATGGCAAGAGGGAAGGTGTAACATGTGATTTGTATCCTAGGAAGAATTTATTTGGTAAACTTGGTGCCAAGTTTTGAAATAAGTGAGCAGGATTTCCTCCTTATGTCCTGCCAGCATTATATGCCCTTGCAAATCGTCACTTCCTCAGAGGCAGCTGGGGACTGTAGGAGATTTGTCCTGTTCTAGCAGAGCTTGCTCTGGGAGAAGAACTTGGTGCAGGCACCAGGTCTTTTTTACTCCCCTCTTCACCCTTTTTTTCCTCTGGAGCTCTCAAGAGTCTGTGACTTTGGAGGCGTTCCTGCAAAGACAAGTCTCAGGATCCCATGTGGAGACATCACTTGCGGCTGTTTCATTATTATTATTTAATAATGGGCTTTTGGGGAGGTCCTGCCCATATTCTGAGAGAGAGCTCCTTGAAACAAGCCAGCATGGAAAGGAATGCTCGGGACAAATTATTACATTCATTTCACAGGTTTTTCTCTTGCCCAATTCTTGGCACAAACATGTTTGAAGAAACCAGTATAAGGTACACTGCTTTTATCTTCTCCCCCAATCCCCAAAGTTTTTAAAGTTTCCATCCACTCCCAGTCTTTACATGCAAAAAAAATACCTCATAGATAAGATAGATCTTCACCTAATAACAGATTAAGGAGGAATCTGGCCATCCTACTGGACACTTTCTTTGGTGTGTTAGGAATCACTGGCTTCACACAGGCCAGACTCGCATTAGGGCACTATAATTTCACTAAAGGTCAGCTGGGAATAGATGAGTTTAAAGTCAGTGATGTCTTCTGCATTTCATAGTTCTGGCTCCCCTGGGGTGGCAAAGGCTAAGGGAAGGACACACACTGGTAAGCTTTCAAGGCCACTTCTGTACCGAAAAGGCAAAATGTGCCCTGCAAGTCACACTCCTGAGGCCAGAAATCAACATGGCTCGGTGTTTCAGTTAGAAGCAGCAGCAGGAAAGGTTACCTGCTGTTTGCCCTCTCATCCTCCTGGTGGCTTGGTCCCAGGAGGGCAAGCCCATTTCACACTTGTCAGCCAGTTGGGAGCATGGTGGCTCCAGGCTGCACTCAGCCACCACCCCTCACACCCAGAGTCACGGGACACAGCCAGTGGAGGGCGCTTGTGAAGCCCTGTGAACTCAGAACCAATTCCATGCTTAGGCCGGGCTTTGACTGGCCTGGTAACTGCTGCCCACAGGAAGCACAGAATTGGCACCACGGAAATCTTTAAGAATCTTTGGACTAGATATCACTTTGGCCCGGGCTGTGTGTTTTTATTAGTTCTTTTCCACAGGCTCAGGCTTGTGAATTCTCGAATACAAGGGGCTGGGGAAATGAACCCACAGTCTAGCCCCTCTCTTCCTTAGCATTTAGCAGGGCTCACAGCTAAATGGAACCTACACTGTTTTAACCTGTCTCTGCCAACCAGGAATGTTTCTGGCCTTACTGACAGAACTGTGCTCCGCTTTCCAGTTGAGCCGGGTGAAGAAAACTGCCTTGGAGCCACAGTCAGAAGTAACAGGGATTTGTTTGGAAATTGAGTAATTAGTTTTTAAAAAAAGAAAAATCTAGAATTAACTTTTCTAATGAATTTTTTAAAGTGGCCTTGATTGAGGTGATTCAGATATCTCTACATACATGCCATGTTATAGTGTTGAAGAACAATAAGGGAATTTCTAGACATCCTAGGAGCTGACTTTGCAAGTCAACTTCCCTGGAGAGGGCACCTGGCAGTTTTCTCTCATGAATGGGCCTCTCCTCAGGCCCTTGCGCAGAGCCAGGAAGAAATGTTCAAAACCAACTCACTGGTATCAAGTAGATTCCAACTTATAGTGACCCAAGGTAGTAAATCTTTATGGAAGCAGATTGCCTCATTTTCTTTGCATGGAGTGGATGGGGAGTTTGAGCTGCCAACCCTCTGGTTAGCAGTCATATGCCTTAGGCACTGCCATCAGACCTCCTTGAAGAGATGGTCACTTACCTGTTACTTTACACATTATGTAAATTATTAGCCAAAGGGAACTATAATGGGATTGTAGAAAGAAAACACAAGGGCTTGGTGTTTATTAAATATATTAAAAAATAAATTTGTTTTAAATGTTAGAGCAATAGACCTTCTTGAGTTCCCTGGTCAAGGAGGAGGAAGGTGGCCTGATTCCAGACATCAAAGCTAGCCTTTGCCTCCTTTTGCCCTTTGTCTTATTTTCACCATCTTCCGGTTATCTTTTTGCCCCCTAGCTTGAGCCATTCAAAAACTGTCTGGTCTGGAACTGAACCCACTCCTGTGGCTTCCAGCCAAACACTAGACAGGCATATAAGGTAATATTTACACCAGGTAGGTACACTCCTTAGAACAATCAACCAGGGGAGAACAGAAGGGCAGTATTTGTACAGGAAGATATCTCAGGAGGCAGGAATACACAGGAAAGAAGGACACAGGGAAGAGGTAACTACAGGGAGGAAGTGGGAAGAGAGCTGTTACATTGTAGGGAATTGCAGTCAATGTCATGAAACAAAATGTGTATGAACTGCTGTATGGAAAATGAATTTGCTCTGTAAACTTTCACCCAAATCACAATAAGAATTAAAAAAAAAAAAAAAAAAACCCACCTGTCTGGGTGGCCTGAGCAAAGTCAGTTACCCAGTCTGGCCCACTAGGTCAGGATTCTCTCTCCTGCTCATGCTGATGTTATTCCCCCATTTATTGTGGGGTCAAGAATGATGTGTTCCTCTCTCAGCACCAAATGGCATTGAGTCCCCTCTAGATTATGCCCTGCACATGACAGTGGCATTTCCATCTTTCCATGGCATGAGAGCTTGAGTGAAAACCTTCCAGCAGAGTCCATGGGTGTTATGCTGGTGGATCCTGGATGGTTGATGGGACAGTCAGGGAATTCTGATCACCTTCAAGATCCATTATCAATTTATTTCCATGGACTTGAGTCACACATCCAAAATGAAAAGCATGAACGTGAGGACTTGAGAGAATTATTTTGAATTCACTATCCTTAGCATCACGGTCTTTTCAAGGCTGTTTTTATGTGCCATTTCCCATGTGTGTGAAACCATGAGAGCCAGAATAGCTGCTGATACCCTGGAAGGGGTGTGTGTGAGACATGGTGACTCCCTCACAAACCGTCATTGCTTAAAGTACTTGGTAAAACTCCGTGCCACGAAACCAAATTCTTTGTATTCTCCTTTGTGCAAGAAATAAGTCCTGATTTCCCAGTTACTATCTGAAATAACTTTACAAAGTAATAGAAACAGAATAAAAGATATTAGCTGTCTATTGTTCTGAGTCAGAACTGGGCTGATGTGGGAAAATTCCATATAGTATATGACAGTTTCACTGTGCAAGGAAATAATTTTTCTCTGTATTTCTTCTTTTACTATAAAAGTTATTCAAAATATTGTTACTATGGAATTACCCAAAATATTGTGACAAGTAAACTGCATTAATTTGTAGACTATTAAAGTGCTCTCCAACCTGATGATGTTTATTGGGTCTTCTTTTGTGTATGTGGAGTAAGCAGATGGTACTTATTGCTAAGTGGGTTTGGTCATCTTTTAGAACCCTGGTTAAAGGGCATGTGGGTCTCAAGGTAAAGGGTCTGAGATTTTACCCTAAATCAATTCAGTCAAGTCGGATCCAAATCATAGTGACTCCTCCTTGGGTTTCCGAGGTTGGTCATATCATTACGGAAGATGATTGCCCAACCTTCCTTCTGGGGAGTGGCCCTTCCGAAGAGTGGCTGGTGGGTTTGAACTGCCAGCGTTCTTGTTAGTCAAATGCCTTAGGCATTAAGCCACCAGAGCTCTCGTAGGTTTTACCTTACTTGGAAGCTAGTAAGTTAGCATCCCGTAGTTTCATTGCTGCTGGCAGGAGCCATGAGACTCCTGAGTCAGAGACAAAGGAAAGTGTATTACAGCCAAAGCAATAGAGGGTTAACATACGTGTTTGTTCCTTAAGTCCCGATTCCTATAGGGCCCCATGAAGAGGGCCAAGGTACAGGTATTGTAAGAGGAACCCCAAGGTCAGGGAACCCTAATCACTTGATGATAAGCCTGCCTGTCCTTTGCTCCAGAGAGAGGCACTGTCTCTCCCATTCGAGACTGTTCACAATACAGACATCCTTGAAGATAGAGTCTGGAGCTAAGGCAGGCGGTGCCTCCACACA